CCCCCCGTTACTCATGACAGCCAGAAAGAAGCAAAGCAAAGGAAGAAGATCTTGAAGGCTGACACCTGCTTAGATCTAGCCAGGGATGGGATTCAAATATCCCAGCAAACTTCCAAAGGCAATTTCTGTTCCATGGGTTGAGTGTTCTCACTGTTGGGAAATTTCTCCTTATTTCCAGGTTGAAATCTCTCCTTATTCAGTTCCCATCCATTGTTCCTTGTCTGGCCTTCGGGTGCCTTGGAAAATAGCTTCACTCTCTGTGGCAGCCCGTCAAATATTGGAAGATGCTCTCCTGTCTCCCCTGGTCCTTCTCTTCCCTAGACTAGCCAGGCCCAGTTCCTGCAACCGTTCTTCATATGTTTTAGTCTCCAGTCCCCTAATCATCCTGGTTGCTCTTCTCTGCACTTTTTCTAGAGTCTCAACATCTCTTTAATAATGTGGTGACCAAAACTGGATGCAGTACTCTAGGTGTGGCCTTACTAAGGCTTTACAGAGTGGTATTAGTACCTCACTTGATCTCGATTGTATCCCTCTGTTAATGCAACTTAGGATTGCGTTGGCTTTTTTGGCTGCTGCTGCACACTGTTGGCTCACATTTAGCTGGTTGTCCACTAAGACTCCAAAATCCCTCTCCCAGTTCCTGCTATTGAGCCTGGTTGCACCCAGTCTATACGTGTACTTTTGGTTTTTCTTGCTTAAGTATAGGACTTTACTCTTCTCTACATTGTATTTCATTTGGTTAAATATGGCCCAGTGTTCTAGTCTGTCAAGATCCATCTGAATCTTGAGCCTATCTTTCGTTTCCTCTTTTAAACCCAACCCTGAAACGGAGCTGCCTCTTGGCACTATGGGGCTGACCACGATGCCCAAACCCAGGGATGTGCCAACCGGAGGCGCTAAGCAAACCGAAGAGCGATCCGTAGCCCCTCCAAAATTCTTTGCCAAAGGAAGAGGATAGGGTGGGGGGGGCATTGTGCCAGATCAGCAGTTCAGAGAGATTTGGGGGAGTGGGCAGCCGGTCTCTGCTGGCGAATTCCCCCTGCCAAATGTGCAGAAAAAAAATCTAAATTTGTTTCACTCTTAACTGTCTTTGTCCCAGATCTTCCCGGCCAACAAGGAACTCGAGATACCGGTCCTCAATTTGCTACCCGAGCCGGTCGTGGCACGTTACATCCGGATCAATCCTCAAACCTGGTTCGAGAACGGGACAATCTGCTTGAGGGCCGAGATCCTGGGATGTGCCCTGCCAGGTAAGCCCATGGTGTTGTGAAAGGTGATGGGACCAAGAAGCATATCCCTCCCAGGATAGAACCGGGGAGAGAGCCGCTACCTGGCGGCGAAGCATGTTAGGGGCCAGTCCCTTGTCTAAGCCCTCTTGTAGGAACATTAGAACCGCTGCCGCAGAAGCAGAAGAGGGGTCTCTGGCCAAAGGCGTGCACCAGGAGCAGAATACCCTCCAAGTCGCATCGTAGGTGTGCGTGGTAGATGGCTTTCAGGAAGCTTGAACGGTTGTCGATTACCCTTTCATAGAAAGTTGGAAACCCTCAAGCGCCCAACGGTTAAGCTGAACCACTGGGGGGTTCGGGTGAAGGACTGCCCCCTGACGCAGGGCGATCTTGGATGTCGGGATCTTCCGTGGTTGGGGGCCACAGACAGGTTCACCAGATCTGCGAACCAGGGTCTCCCTGGGCCACTGGGGTGCCAGGAGAAATGAGCTCTGCCTTTTCCTCCAACAACTTCTGAATTATTATAGCCGGAATAATGGGAAGAGGAGGAAACGTGGAGACCCCGGAGGCCAGGCACTCCAAAGCGCATTGGTCCCCTTTGCTCCCTGGGTCAGAAACCTGGTGAAGAACCTGCCCAACTGGGCCTTCTGGGGGTGGGGTGGCAAAGAGGTCTACGGTTGGAGGACCAAATCGGCATGACAAGTCCTGAAACAGAGAGGGGGTGTAGACTCCACTCTGCCTGGTCTATTGTGGACCAACTCAACCAGTTGACCTGAACGTTGTCGACTCCCAATATATGGTCCATCCTGATTGAAAGGTGTCTTTCCGCCCGTCTCCCCCAGGCGCTCTGCTTCTATCATCAAAGCCCTGGACCTGGTCTCCCCTTTGCCTGTTGACATGGGCCTTTGTGGTCACATTGTCTGTCATGACTAACACATGGCGACCAGCCATCCTGTTCCGGAAGTGTTTCAGGGCTAAGAAAATAGCCCTGAGTTCCAGCCAATTTATGGGGCACGTCCTTTCAGACTGTGACCAACACCCCTGGGCTATATTTCCCCCTCCAGATCGCTCCCCAGCTGTGAAGACTGGCATCTGTGGTGAGCTGGATCCTGTCTGGCTCCTTGAAGGGAAGACCCCCTTTCTAGGAGCCTGGGACTGCCACCATGTGAAGAACCAAAGGACCCGAGAAGGAACCTCTACCTTGATGGTAGAATGGCTGGTTCCTGCCCGTTGAAAGGGTCATAAGTCACTTTTTCAATGCTGTTATAACTTCAAAACATGGTCACTAAATGCAACGTTGTAAGCTGAGGACTACCTGCATGCACCATTTTTTCCCCCTAGTTAGCTCACCTTTGGTCCACTAGCATTTGGCTCCACCCCCAAAATGTTTCTTTCTCCCACTTTCCTTTATCGATAAAATACGTTTTAATTTATGCTATCCTGTGTTTCTTTCCAGATCCCAACAACATTTATCCATGGGAACACACCTCTGGCACCAACGATAAATTGGATTTTAGGCATCACAACTACAAGGAGATGAGGAAGGTACATGGTTTTTTTTCTCACGAAGGGCTCAAGGATCCAGCTCTTAATTAATTCTCTTCTCTTAGAAAATGAATGTCAAAGTATTCAAGAGCCAGGGAAGGAGAATTACTGGGCTAGAAAACTGGGCCAGACTTGTAAACAATAATAATGTTTAATAATAATAGCATTGTTTAATAACAACAAACAACAAACAAACAACAAACAACAATAACAATAACAATAATAGAATTGGAAGGGACCTTGTAGGTCATCTAGTCCAACCCTCTGCCCAAGCAGGAGACCCTACACCATTTCTGACAGATGGACAGTCCAGTCTCTTCTCGAAAGCCTCCAGTGATGGAGCTCCCACAATTTCTGAATAACAGAGTTCGAAGGGACCTTATAGATCATCTAGTCCAACCCGCCATCCAGGGTTGCATTGGCTTTTTTGGCTGCTGCTGCACACTGCTGGCTCAGGTTTAACTGGTTGTCCACTAAGACAATGGGGTCAGCCAGATTCACTTCACATTTGCAGTGATTCACTTACAAACTGTGGCGAGAGAGGTCGTCAAACGGGAAACTCACCTAACCATCGTCTCACCACAACCGTGTGACTCTCTTAATAAATCGCAGGGATCCACTTAACAACGGTGGCAAGCGAGGTCATAAAAGGGGACAAAAAACCCCTCAACAACAGTTTCGCTTGGTGACAAAAATGTTGGCCTCCCTTCTGGTTGTAAGTCGAGGACTATCTGTAGTTTGTTTTTTGTTTTTTTTAAAGCAGTTTTGCCTTAAAAATTCCTTTTAAAATATCTTCATTTTTCGGTGATTCATTTATAAAACATCTCACAAGATACGATGGTGAAGTGAATTAAGCCCCTAAAACTTTTTTTTAACATCCAGATTTTAGATTCCTAGTGAAAAAAATAAAACTTGACTGGGCCTTCCTTTAACTCATCCTTCCTACCCTGAAAGCAGTAGTGGTATTGAAGGAAATCTAGAAGATCCGTGCAGCAGTTTGGAAGCGAAACTACATTCCAACTCTTTATCTTTAAAAGATTGTAACTTAACTACCAGAGCTTTTGCCCGCGAATATATGTAATTGGAGAATGTGATTGATGACACCCAGCCCGTAATTGGAGAATGTGATTGATGACACCCAGCCCGTAATTGGAGAACATGATTCATGACACCCAGCCCGTAATTGGAGAACATGATTGATGACACCCAGGCCGTCAACGTGCTCAATTGGAAAATCTGGTTTATGACACACCCAGGAGGGAGGGAGGAAACAGGGTCACAGGTGACTGTAAATTACGTATGCCAGAGTTGGCTTGCTGTTAGGATTCCAGCAATCACCTTAATTAAATCATGATCCTCAAGCCAAACTTCAAAAAACTTCAAAGCATTCATTAGAGGAGACATAAAGGGCATATGTCACCTCTAATAAATCCTTTGAAGTTTTTTGAAGTTTGGCTCGAGAATCATGATTTCATTAGGGTGATTGCTGGAATCCTGACACCCCGTTCAAGCGAACCGGCAATAAATAAAAAAAATACTGCCGGTTCGGTCGACGATCAGCTGTGCCGCGCGATTTAGATTAGCTAGAAAGTAGGAAATCGTTGGATTTCTTGCTTTCTGGCTAATCTAAATCGCGCGGCACAGCTGATTTTTCTGCCTCGCTGTTGTACTTACCTTCAAAATGCTTCTTTTTTTTTTCAGCACCTGGGGAGGCTTCCCTGAGGCCCAGTAGGCAAAAAAATGGGGTGCGGAGGGGTGGGGGTTGCTGTGAAAAAAACCCACAGAGCTATGCCCACCCAGTCACACGACCACCTGGCCACGTCCACCTAGTCACACCCATACAACCGGTAGTAAAAAAAAAATTGAATCCCACCACTGCCTGAAAGGGACGGAGGAAATCATATCCGGTCGCCATTTCAGAGATTTTCATTCAGAGAAATTGAATTCTCTCCCGGCAGCTGATGAAAAACGTCAGCGAGGCTTGTCCGGATATCACGAGGATTTACAGCATCGGGAAAAGTTACCTGGGCTTGAAAATGTACGTCATGGAGATATCAGACAACCCCGGGAAGCACGAAGTAGGTGAGTGACATCTCGGCTGATGTTCTATCCGTTTTGCAGGAAGACAGTTTAATTGGAATTTGGCTTCAGAAGACGGGGATCGTGGCTTGTTTCCGTTGTCAAGGAGCTTCTCGGCCAATTGGGTCCAAGGGTCTATCTCGTTTAGCCAGTTTTCTCGACTGGGACCAATTGAGTGGACTTCAACTCCCAGAATCCCCCCAGTCAGCCTTGCAGTCTCTCTTGCTGCTTTCTCAAGTGTTTCTCAATCTGGGCGAGTAGACTTCAACTCCCAGAATTCCCCAGCCAGCAAAGAATTCTGGGCGTCGAAGTCCATCCATGTCTCACTTGCCGAGGTTGGGGAAACACGGCCCTTGCATGTCCCAAGGGGGTTGGGGAGCCACAAATGGGGTCCTTCGATGATCCCTCAAGAAACGCCCAGCTCACAAACACACCCCGAGATGTCATCATCCCTGCGCCATTGCAGGAGAACCAGAGTTCCGCTACGTGGCTGGCATGCATGGCAACGAGGCGCTGGGCCGGGAGCTGGTGCTCAACCTGATGGAGTATCTCTGCCAGGAATACAAGCAGGGCAACCCTCGTGTCCGGAGGCTGGTCACCGAGACCCGGATCCACCTGATGCCCTCCATGAACCCCGACGGTTATGAGACGGCCTACAAGCTGGTGCGTGGCACAGTGGCACGGTGTGGGTGTGGGTGTGTTTCTGTCTGTCTGTCTGTCCTTGGGGAGCCACCCCCATGAACTCTGCTTCCCGCTACCAAACGGGCACACGTGAGAATGATTTCTCAAAAGCCTTGCAAATGCTTCAAGTTTAAAGTGAGTGTCTGGGTTGAAGGGCTCACGTTTGGACGGGTTTGATCCGGAAAGGCGCCCAAATACCACTTTGTTGGAAAGAGCTTCCCTGAAAGTCGTCTGAATCCAGGATGGGCTGGAGAGTAGCTAGAAGATCTTTTTCTTTTTCTTTCTTTCTTTTGCTTTCTTCCTTCCTCCCTCTCTCCCTGTTTCATTCCTTCCTTTCTTCTCATCTTCCCTTTTCTTTGCCTTCCTTCCTTCCTCCCTCTCTCCCCTCCCTCCTCCCTCCCTCCCTTCTTACACCTCCATCCCTTCCTCTTTCTATCTTTCCTTCCTTCCTTTTTCTCTTTTCTTTTTCTTTCTTCATCTCTCTCTTTCTTCCCTTCCTTCCATTTCTTTCTTTTTCTCTGTCTTTCTCTCTCCTTCCTTCCTACCTCCTTCCTTTTTCTCTTTCCTTCTTTTCTCTTTCTTCTCTCTCTCTTTCCTTCCTTCCCTCCATCTTCCTTCCTTCTTTTTGTCCTTCCTTCCTTCCTTGATCCCAATGGGGGTCCCCAAACCCACTGAACCAATCAGTATTCAAAAGCTTTTGGGGGAAAGCAGCAAAGGGGGAGCCAATCTGGGGGAGGAAATTCCATAGGGAGGGAGCCACCACTGAGAAGGCCCTGTTTCCCAGGTCCCGCCAGATGGACTTCCTTGGTTGCTGAGACCCACCACACGTCCTGCCTTCCTGCTCTGAGGGCTGTGGAGATATAACTGGGGAGTGGATTACCGATCTCCCCCAGGCCGGTCCATCCGGAGGGCACCGGGTGTAGTCTCCAACCCCTCCTTTCTTTGGTGACTCTGCAGGGCTCAGAGCTGGCTGGCTGGGCGATGGGCCGATGGACGTACGAAGGCTTTGATCTCAACCACAACTTTGCCGACCTCAACACGGAGCTTTGGGACGCTGAGGATGCCGAGCTGGTGCCCCACAAGTTCCCCAACCACTACATCCCCATCCCGGAGTCATACACCTTCCCTAACGCCACGGTGAGTCCAGCATTCCTCAGCCAGTCAACCTTTGGCCTTCAACTCCCAGAATTCCTCAGCCGGCCATTGAGCCAGTCAGCCTTGCGGCCTTCAACTCCCAGAATTCCTCAGCCGGCCACTGAGCCAGTCAGCCTTGCGGCCTTCAACTCCCAGAATTCCTCAGCCGGCCACTGAGCCAGTCAGCCTTTGGCCTTCAATTCCCAGAATTCCTCAGCCGGCCATTGAGCCAGTCAGCCTTGCGGCCTTCAACTCCCAGAATTCCTCAGCCAGCCACTGAGCCAGTCAGCCTTGCAGCCTTCAACTCCCAGAATTCCTCGGCCGGCCATTGAGCCAGTCAGCCTTTGGCCTTCAACTCCCAGAATTCCTCAGCTGGCCACTGAGCCAGTCAGCCTTGCGGCCTTCAACTCCCAGAATTCCTCAGCTGGCCAGCCAGCCTTGTGGCCTTCAACGCAGGCTGAGGCATTCTGGGAGTTGAAGTCCACAAGTCTGTAAAGTTGCCCCAGGTCCCCTGGCCTAAAGGGAGGGCATCTCTGCTCTGGCTCATCCTGAACTGTTTTTTTTTTTTTTTCTGCCAAGGTTGCCCCAGAAACCCGGGCGGTTATCAGCTGGATGCAGCGCTACCCCTTCGTGCTGAGCGCCAACCTTCACGGAGGGGAGTTGGTGGTGTCCTACCCCTTCGACATGACCCGCACCTACTGGAAAGCCCAGGAGCTGACCCCCACCGCCGATGACGCCGTCTTCCGATGGCTGGCCACCGTCTACGCCACCTCCAACCTGGTGATGGTAGACAACGAACGGCGGCGGTGCCACTACGACGACTTCATGCAGGAAGGAAACATCATCAACGGAGCCAACTGGCACACCGTGCCGGGAAGTAGGTGAACGGGACGTCCTCCATGAGGACTAGTAGTAAACTAAACAGACTAGCACTAAACAGAGGGTTGTCCCAAAAGTGCTGTTTGGGTTTTTCAAGAGGCATTGCGCACGGAGGTTCGGGGAGGATGAAAACTGGGCCTCCTGGAAGTTCGGGAAGGCCGGAAATGGGCCCATTTCTCTCCAGGCTCCCTGGGCTCCCGAGGCCGTTTTCGCCCTCTTGGAGGCTCGAGGAAAGCCTCCGGAGCCCAGGAGGGCAAAAGCACACACACACGCATACACACCCTGCCATGGTGCAGGAGGCTGACTAAGCCATGCCCACCCAGCAACCAGGCAGAGAACCCGTTGCTAAAATTTTTGAAGCAGACCTCTGCTTCGCCCCCCACCCACCCAGAAAGGTTGGGGAACTCTACCCCTGTTCTGACCCAAACCCTTTTCCAATAAAACAAACCCGAACCAAAGGGAACAGAAACCTTTTAATGAGTCTTACGAATCGCCGGTTAAAAGGCTGCTGCAAACTAATTAACTTTGATAAACACAAACCTTGCCAAAAGTGTGCGAGGCTACCAAGAATAACAGATGAGAAATATTTCACAACACAAGAGTCTTCAAATACCAACTTAAAATACTGTAATGTCCACGATGCTGAGTTTCAAAAACGTCTTTGCTTCCTGCAAAGAATGTCCGATTCAAAGCTGGCTTTTATCTTCTTGAAGGAGGGGCCATCACCTTGTAGCCTTACTCCCGAGTCGCCCGTGCTGCTGCAGCTGCTCTTTCCTGCGCGCATGTGCACTTGGCACAGGCTTGTCGGGAATCTCCTCGTCGCTGCTGCCAGCCCCCACAATCTCCGAAGGCAGCAGTCCACTCCCTAATGGTCCTGGCCCCTCATCTGAGTCCTCGCTCTCCTCAACCGTCTGCACCTGCTGCTGGCTAATCACAACAGCCCCTGGGGTCAAAGAGATGCCTGCTCAGGTCCTCTTCTCTTGCAGGTATGAACGACTTCAGCTACCTGCATACCAACTGCTTTGAGGTGACCATCGAGCTCTCCTGCGACAAATTCCCGCACGCGTCGGAGCTTCCCCAGGAGTGGGAGAACAATAAGGAATCCCTGTTGCTGTACATGGAACAGGTAGGGGGGTCACCTGTACTGCTCCCCCTCCCTCTCCCTTGCGTTTCAACCCGGGGTCCTAATCCATAATTCATTGTCACCCTTGACCCTGGTTTTCCCCCACCCCCTGGGTGTATCGTAATTCATATTCTCCAATGGGACACATCCATAGCCAAGAGTCATCAATCAGCCTCTCCAGTTAGATATTTGCACAGGCAGAAACTTCAGTCACCTAGTTACTATCTTTGAAAACATTTGTGGAATGCACTTTCGGTTTGCAAGCTGCCACACTGCTCCCCCCTCCCTTTCTGTTGGCAACTCTAAAAAGACCAGAGAAATACACTGCTCAAAAAAATAAATAAAGGGAACACAAAAATAAGACATCCTAATCTGAATTAATGAAATATTCTTATTAAATACTTTGTCCATTACAAAGTTGAATGTGCTGACAACAAAATCACACAAAAATTATCAATGGAAATCAAATTTAGCAACCCATGGAGGTCTGGATTTGGAGTTACACTCAAAATTAAAGTGGAAAAAAACACTACAGGCTGATCCAACTTTGATGTAATGTCCTTAAAACAAGTCAAAATGAGGCTCAGTAGTGTGTGTGGCCTCCACGTGCCTGTATGACCTCCCTACAACACCTGGGCATGCTCCTGATGAGATGGCAGATGGTCTCCTGAGGGATCTCTTCCCACACCTGGATCCCCCAACTCCTGGACCCCAACTCCTGGACAGTCTGTGGTGCAACGTGGCGTTGGTGGATGGAGCGGGACATGATGTCCCAGATGTGCTCAATTGGATTCAGGTCTGGGGAACGGGCAGGCCAGTCCATAGCATCAATACCTTCGTCTTGCAGGAACTGCTGACACACTCCAGCCACATGAAGTCTAGCATTGTCTTGCATTAGGAGGAACCCAGGGCGAACCGTACCAGCATATGGTCTCACAAGGGGTCGGAGGATCTCATCTCGGTACCTAATGGCAGTCAGGCTACTTCTGGCGAGCACATGGAGGGCTGTGCGGCCCCCTAAAGAAATGCCACCCCACACCATTACTGACCCACTGCCAAACCGGTCATGCTGGAGGATGTTGCAGGCAGCAGAACGTTCTCCACGGCGTCTCCAGACCCTGTCACATCTGTCACATGTGCTCAGTGTGAACCCGCTTTCATCTGTGAAGAGCACAGGGCGCCAGTGGTGAATTTGCCAATCTTGGTGTTCTCTGGCAAATGCCAAACGTCCTGCACGGTGTTGGGCCGTAAGCACAACCCCCACCTGTGGACGTCGGGCCCTCATACCACCCTCATGGAATCTGTTTCTGACCATTTGAGCAGCCACATACACATTTGTGGCCCGCTGGAGGTCATTTTGCAGGGCTCTGGCAGTGCTCCTCCTGTCCCTCCTTGCACAAAGGCGGAGGTAGCGGTCCTGATGCTGGGTTGTTGCCCTCCTACGGCCTCCTCCACGTCTCCTGATGTACTGGCCTGTCTCCTGGTAGCGCCTCCATGCTCTGGACACTACGCTGACAGACATAGCAAACCTTCTTGCCACAGCTCGCATTGATGTGCCGTCCTGGATGAGCTGCACTACCTGAGCCACTTGTGTGGGTTGTAGACTCCGTCTCATGCTACCACTAGAGTGAAAGCACCGCCAGCATTCAAAAGTGACCAAACCAACCAAAAACAGTCCCCGTTTTTTCAGTGCCATTGTCCCTTTGAACGGTCACTGAATGAACCTCTGTAAGCCGAGGACTCCCTGTATTTCCCACACAGGGCAGAAGACTCGAGAACAGTAACATGGGATTTGGCATAGAGGAAGTCCTCAACTTACGATCGTAATTGAGCCATAAGCCATGGCGGTCCTAAGTCGTTTTCCATCGTTAGGCAGGTCATCATGTGACTGTGCCATTTTCTTTTGTCCGTCAGTCGTTAAGTGAATCACCATGGTGGTTAAGGGAACACCACAGTCGTTAAGCCAGCCCGTTGTCCACAGTGAGCATTTTTTTTTGGTTGCTTTTGGGCCCTAAGACAGGACTAGAACTCACTGCTGTGTGCTCTTCCAGTCTGGGGCCTTAACCCCAATGTGCCAGCTAATCGTCTGCCTCCTTTCAGATCCACCGAGGGATTAAGGGGATCGTCCGGGACAAAGACACGGAGCAAGGCATCGCCGATGCCATCATTTCCGTTGACGGCATCAACCACGACATCAGGACAGGTACCAAAAAGGCTGGGCATGGTCCGTGTGGGCAGCCGGTGCAATGGCTCTCCCTGTTAAACTCCTCTTCCGTTTACCAATAAGGGAGAATGTTGGTAGCTCCAGGTTAAGCGGAGGGTGGTTTTCTTGCAGATGTTTCATGACCCAACTAGGTAACAGCCTTAGGGTTAGAAGGGAGGGGGCGTTTACGGAGAGGAAGAGGAGGAGGAGGAGGAGGAGGAGGAGGAGGAGGAGGAGGAGGAGGAAGGATGACTGTGGTGTCCATGGTGGTCTCTGAGCTGGGTGGCTTCCTTGCAGACGTTTCATGACCCATCTAGGTAACGTCAGCAGTGCTGTTCAACATTACTGATGATGTTACCTCATTGGGTAATGAAACTTCTGGAAGAAACTGCACCAAGGACCCCACAGTCCTCCTCCTCCTCCTCTCTGCAAACCCCACTGCCTTCTAGCACTGATGATGTTACCTAGTTGGACCACTAAATGTCTGCAAGAAAACAACCAAGCTCAGAGAGCACCAAGGACCTCAGTCCTCCTCCTCCTCCTGTTGCTCTTTTCCCCATCCTCCTTTGTTCCTCCTCCTCCTCCTGCTCCTCTCCACAAACCCCCCAACCCTTCAAGCACTGATACTATTCCCTAGCTGGGTAATGAAAGGTCTGCCAGAAAGCAGCCAAGCTCAGACACCACTAAGCACCCCTCTTCCATTCCCCCGGCAGCTTTCGATGGGGACTACTGGCGCCTGCTCAACCCCGGCGAGTACGAGGTGACCGCCACGGCCGAGGGCTACCACCCCGTCACCCGGACCTGCCACGTCTCTTACGAGAACAACCCCACCCTCTGCGACTTCCGCCTGGCCAAGACCCCCAAGCAGCGTCTGCGAGAGATCCTGGCCAAGGGCGGGAAGGTGCCCAAGGACCTGGCGCTGCGTCTGCGCCAGCTGCGTCTGCGCCAACTGCAGGCCCAGCGACAGGCCCAGTGAGGGCAAGGAAAGGCCGCAAGGCAGCGCCCCGAGGAGGACGCGGCTCTCGGGCCCTTCTTCCGCCTGGGGGTCCTTTCGGTTTGGGGAGGCTTGCGAGAATGCCGGCCCTCGGCCCCCAAACGGCGAATGTGCCTCCTGGACTTTCAAAAGAACCGAGATATTCTAGCCTGGCATTTTATGGAGAAATATGGTGATAGCTTTGCAAATACCTGAACGTTTCTCTTTCCTTCCTTCCGTCCTCTCCTTTTCCCGTCTTTTGTTTCTGTTTAATTCCTCCATTTCCTTCCTTCCTTTTCTTCTTCCTTCATTCCATTTTTATCCTTCCTTTCCATCTTTCCTTTCACTTTTTCCTTCTCTTACTCTTTTCTTATCATTTTCTTTCCTCTCTTCGTTTCCTTTTCTCTTTTACCCCTTCCTTCCTTCCTCTACCCTTCCTCCCTTCCTCCTTCCTTCCTTCCTTTCCTTCTCTCATCCCCATCTCCCTCCCTCCTTCCTTACTCTCCTTTTCCCCTCTTTTGTTTCCATTTAATTTCTCCATTTCCTTCCTTCCTTTTCTTCTCCTTCATTCCATTTTTACCCTTCCTTTCCATTTTTCCTTTCACTTTCTCCTTTTCTTAGCCTTTCCTGGTCATTTTTCTTCCTCTCTCCCTTGTTTCCTTTTCTCTTTAACCCCTTCCTCCCTCCCTCTACCTTTTCTTCCTTCCTTCCTTCCTTCCTCCTCCCTTCCTTGCTTCATCTCATCCCCATCTCCTTTCTTCCTTCCTCTCCTTTTTCCCTTTGTTTATGTTTCTTAATTCCTCCATTTCCTTCCTTTTTTCCTTCTCTTTCATTCCATTTTTTCCTTCCTTTCTATCTTTCCTTTCACTTTCTCCTTCTCTTAGCCTTTCCTTCCTTATCATTTTCTTTCCCTCTTTGTTTCCTTTTCTTTTACCCCTTCCTTCCTCTAATTTTCCTTCCTCCTCCCTTCCTTCTCTCATCCTCAACTCCTTCCTTCCTTCCTCTCCTTTTCCCCTCTTTCGTTTCCATTTCTTAATTCCTCCATTTCCTTCCTTCCTTTTCTTCTTTTTTCTCCTTCCTTCATTCCATTTTTTCCTTCCTTTCCATCTTTTCTTCCACTCTTTCTCCTTCTCTTAGCCATTCCTTCCTTATCATTTTCCTTCTTCTCTCCCTCTGTTTCCTTTTCTCTTTTATCCTTCCTTCCTCTACCTTTCCTTCCTTCCTCCTCTCACCCCCATCTCCTTCCTTCCTTCCTTGCCATTCAGACAAGCTTTCTTCTCTTATTACTTCATCTCTCCCACAGTTGAATTCCGAACACAAAAAACTGAAGATGCGGGAATATCACGGCTAAAAGAGTACAGGCAGTCCTTGGCTTACGACCACAACCGAGCCCCAAAATTTATGCTGTTAAGCGAGACATTTGTTAAGTGAGTTTTGCCCGACTTTGTGGCCTTTCTTGCTGCAGGGGTTAAACGCATCGCTGCAGTTCTTAAGTTAGCAACACGGTCATTAAGTGAATCTGGCTTCCCCGTTGACTTTGCTCGTCCGAAGGTCGCAAGCGGGGATCACATGACACACACACACACACCGGGATACCGCAGCCGTCGTAACTATGAGTTGCCAAGCCTCTGAATTTTGATCACGTGGCCATGGGGACACTGCAACGGTCGCAAGTGTGAAAAACGGTCCTTAGTCATTTTTTTTTCAGTGCCATTTTGGTCACTAAACAAACGGTTGTAAGTTGAGGACTACCTGTACACCTTCTACAACTTAGTCCCCTACCCCACTTCTCCCCCCCACCCAACTCTGCATTCTACACCGTTTTCTTAAGCCCCACGAATGGGAATGACCCAAAATAGGTCACAGCTTTGCGTCCGGCAGGCTGGTCCTGGCGGAACCGGCTGTCTGCTTCTCCGGATCAGGAAGTCACGGGGGTGCTTGCCAGGCAACATTTGGGGCAGGGCAGGAGAATCCTGCCATATTATGAGAATGGCTTCCATGAAAATTGCCGCTTCCTTGCGAGTCAAGGGGCCTTCAAAGAGTTTTTACCAAATAAATCCTTTGGATATTTAATCTTTCCCAGGTTCCGTGCTTCTGCTTTTTATTTTCTCGCCTTCTGCAGAAGACAAAGGCCACACCCCAGTGGTGGGATTCAAATTTTTTTTTACTACTGGTTCTGTGCGCGTGGGTTGGTGGGCATGGCAGGGGAAGGATGCTGCAAAATCCCCCTTCCCTCCTCACCCCACTAACTGTTCTTTGACCCAACCCTGTTACCGGAAAGAAAATCTCAAACTCACTAACTCAAACCTTCACAGCTTTAATCTACAAATAAACTTCTTTGTAGATAAAAAGATGGCTTGCAGCCAATTAGTCCAACCAGAAAAGCCTTGACAGAATTCTTCAGATAAGCCGGAGTCTCCACACACAACACTGAGTTCTTCAAAAAAAAAAATTGCTTTCTGCAAAAGCAAAAACCCTTTGAAACCAGGCTTATATTCCCTGAAGGGAGGGGCCATTACGTTGCATTCTTACTCCCGAGTCGCCCGTGCTGCTCCAGCTGTTCTCTTCGACAAATCATCCTGCGCTCACTCACACTTAGCACAGGCTTCTCGGGAGCCTCCTCCTCACTGCTGCTGGCTAATCACAATACTAACCTGCTTTCCAGCTCTGTTCTCCTGTGCAGGGCAACCAATGAAGACCCAGCCATTCAGCTGGGACTCAATGGGAGGCAGAAAAGAGATGGGGTTGGCGGGGTCAGTCAAAAGAGGTGGGATTGACCGGTTCTCCCAACTACTCAAAATTTCCGCTACTGGTTCTCCAGAACTGGTCAAAACCTGCTGAATATACCACCTCTGCAACACACCAAATTGCCAAGTAGTGTAGTCACACCTTCATGCTGGTTAAGGCCTTGCTGTGAAGATCTACCTGAACAATTATTAGAAGGGGTGAGTTTTGTCAGCCCAACGGAAGAGTGGAAAAAATGAAACGGGCTTACGTTTGTGAAGTTGGAAGGGGATGGTTTAGGGTAGCATTTCTTAACCTTGGGTCACTTTAAGATGCGTGCGGACTTCAACTCCCAGCCAGCATATGATGCCCAGAATTACAGAAAGGGGTTTCTAGGTATGGTCTCAACAAGGGGCACTTTTGTGTGACATGGGCAGCTATACAATATGAGAGAGACAGAGACAGATTAGCCCAGAGGTCCTCAAATTTGGCAACTTTAAGACTTGTGGTCTTCAACTCCCAGAATTCCTCCTCCAGTCATGTTAGCTCAGGAATTCTGGGAGTTGAAGTCCACAAGTCTTAAAGTTGCCAAGTTTGGAGACCTCTGGATTAGAGGGAGACACAAAGAGAATGGAGATAGATAGGTACAGTGGAGATAGGTAGGTAGGTAGGTAGTAGATGAGAGAGGGAAGGAGGGAGGGAGAGAGAGAGGGAGAGAGAGAGAGAAAGTTAGCACTCACACCCTTTCCTAGAAGAATGAAATATTTTGAGGAATATTATTAAAAGGCAGGATAAAATATTTTCCCTAAAAGAAAAACACAAATCTTAAGGTAGACGCAAACTCAGAGCTCCAACTCCCTGCCTTCAGCAGATATTTTGTGCCCATTGAGAAAGATTGGGCCATCCTATCTACAAAACAAAAGACCTCCAACTCCAGGATGATGGGATTAAGACATGATCTCTCAGGACATAATAGGATTAACCCTCTACCATCTAGCAGCAGAGCTTCACTACATTGTGTCACCCTCCAAACTTCAACCAAACTTAGCTCAGACAAACTTGACCCCTACATGGCCCCATGGGAACCTGACAACAGCCAATAGAATACACGTTCTTGCACAGGAACAGGAGGTTCAAGTGCAAAGCCTAAGAGAAGGTATAAAAACCGCTCACTCTCAACTCCATGTGGTCAGTTGCACCAGAACCTCCTGGATTGGAACTGGACCTGGATGTTTCTTCCAACAATACATAAGCTAGATAGATAAGATTGATGGATGATTGATGGATAGAAAGACAGAAATACAGAATGGAGATAAATACAGTGGAGAGATGATAGATAGGTAGGTAGGTAGGTAAGAAGGTAGGTAGATAACAGATAGATACATAGATAGATAATAAATAGATATAATAGATGATAGATAATAAATAGATATAATAGATATGATAGTTAGATGATAATATAGATGATAGATACATAGATAATAGATAGATATAGATACAATATAGATAGATAATATAGATGATAGATACATAGATAATAGATATGATAGATGATTGATAATATAGATGATAGATACATAGATATAACAGATACAATATAGATGATAGATAATATAGATGATAGATACATAGATATAATGGA